GATTTTAAATTAAAGTGATCGTAAACAAGGATCCTCAGTAAGAGACACAATCAAGGGAAATTGAAATTTAAAAAGAAAAAAAAGAGTTTAGTGAGTTTATTCTGCAACTTTCTGCTGCAAAATATGACAATGATTTAAATAACTAGCAAAAAAAATGTGACTGAAAAATTTTATTTAAAGTAGATATAGTTTATTCCTTGAAACATCAGTTAAAATGTGCATTTCAGTACCATTTTTCATACATATTCCATTTTGAGTAACTGTCCATTAATGGTACCAATAATTATTTGTAAAGACAACAGACATTTTTATCTTGTTTTGCTTCGCTTAGTTTGTTCAGTTATTATTAGATGGCACATTTCTATACTGCCAGTTATTTGTTATTTATCAGGTTATGAGCTGAGCTGCTGTTTACAGAACAGGCTGTTCCACGACGATGCATTAACCCATTTTGACATTGACTTGTGCTCTCGTAGGACACAACCTCATTTAAGATGTCTGTGTTTTTGTCTCCCCCTCTTCACCCTGATGGAGCAAACCTCTCCACGTGAAGACCACTCAATCTTCAGCTGCGTCCTCGACTACAATCACACAAACACTCTCTTCTGCTCACAAACTCACCCGGTCCCTTAGACGGAGGATAATCAGACTAACATTTAGAGTTTTTCTTGATTGTAATTACTGTCATAATGACAGCCTAGCGGATGTTTTTTCAGCGCTCTGCCTGTGTGTGGGTTGTTCATCAGTTATCAGCATTGTATCTGTTGCCTCTGTGCAAATGTCATCTTCCACGGAGTTTCAACTCCATAGAGTTCAGATAAGAAGCTATTTATAGCAACTGTTTTTAGCTTTGTGTTTCTACAGAATGTTCATTTCCAGTCTGAGGATTAACCTCAGTGTTCTTTAAAGTCTTGCTCCACTGAATTTTGATTCATATATAGCTGGATAAACGAAAACATGACCCCAAACACTTTGGCAGTCTGCACTTATTTGCAGACCAATTTCAAGCACCATTAGCATGTAATGCGCGAGTCACAATTGAGCCTATAATCGCCTGTGTGTCTGCGAGTGTGTCTAAGTGTACGCGTCTGTGTCAACTTGTGAACTTGACCCATATCTCACATGGTGACATGCTGTCACTGAGACGTCGGCTGTCCGTCTAAAACTGCAGATGCTGCAGTCCACCTGCCAGCCAGGTCAAACTACCCATATGTCTCTTTGCCAAATGGCAGCGGACACTGACACTGTCTGCTTTGGCTAGCGGCTCACCTCGCCTCACTCTGCCCCGTCTGGCACCTGGCAGCGATTAGCCGAAGGCACAACAGAATGTAAGGCACCAGGTTACGGTCCTCTCAGAGGAGGTAATTTGGCCTTGTTTGAACACAGGCTCATCTGGCCCGGTGCAGCCCGGTCCAGCCACCTGCTGTTTGCTCTATCCAGATCTGACCTCATGACTCAAAGACGTGGAAAAGGAAGAGCCTGTCAAATGACCCCGTGACAGCTAGAGGAAGCAACCAATGAGTTAGATATTGTGGCTTAAAACCCAAAAGATAAGAGAAGAGATGCTGCAGCTACTGTACCTCTGGGTCGTGTAAGTGTCAGAACCGGCTGACTGGGCAGTAATGGAACCCGGTACCCTGGTGCTTCATGCTACAGGAATAGCAACATTTTCCCTGTCACCAAAACATGCTGATTTACAGATTTTATTTTTGGCAAAGGGGTGGAACTTGTGCGAGCAAAGATACTTGTGCTTATGGAGAGCGTGGCCTTTACTATGAAAACAAGTCTTAAAATGAAATGCTGCGCTGTAACCTCCCTAATAACCTGAAGTTAAGTAGACAGGAGGCACTTAATCATGCTTTAAACATCTCCTGCACATCGTTCAGTCATCAACAACGAACAAGCAGAGGTAGTTACAACATGACCCGCAGTTTAAAGCTCGCAGTCAGCCTCTGTGGTCTCGCCTCGCTGTGGACTCTGGGGCGGCCGGGGTCGGGTGGGATCAGGTATTTGTCAGCGAGACTGTAGCATCCCACAGGGGTTTGTAGCAGGTGTGAAGCAGGTGGAGAAGGGTAGAAGAGACGGAGGAGCCAATGAGGAGAAGCAGGCGAAGGGGGATGTGACATCCCCGCTGAGTTTGTCTCCAGGATACCGTAGCAAGCGAGAAGGCAGAGCAAAGTTGCAGGCGTCTGTTGAGGCACATGGGAGGCCCATTAGAGCAGTACCTCCTCCTGTCTGACTTCCTCAGCCCCGTGAAGAGCACACCTGGGACGGCGATGGTATCTGTATCTACAGTACCTTTCTCTCCTTGCCTGTCTGGTCCCACCCCGTGCACTCCACCCCCCACCCTGCGCTCCCCGAGGTCTCTTTGACAGGAAGCCGAGTGCCAGGGCCCTGCTGCTTCTTTCTGCCGGCTCAGGATGGGTCCCTGGTTGAGTCCCATCCATACGTCACTGGCAGCAGCAAAGACAGCAAAAGAGGAGCACTCTCTCACCGATTATAGCAACAGCACAAAGCAACAGCATCCTCTCTCTGTCTGCCGGCAGTCTGCCTCTCTGTTCTGTCTGTATCCCGGAGCAGGGAAAAATAGTTTGCGGGAACCTGACAGAGAAGAAAGCACCGGGGCTCCGGAGTCTCAGGCAACCGGAATGCAGCCTTATATGAATAGATGATGCAGCGAAAGGCAAGGCCAGAGCACAGGGGAGAGCTGTGAAGAATCACAGGAAGCTCTGCGTTAAGAATTCGGTCCAATTTTCAAGGATTTTTGCACATCTAAGGGAGCTCACGGGAGATGATAGCTGAAGTTCGTAGCGTCGAGGTCCTGTGAAGTTGAAGAATGTTCTATCACACGGAGTGAAGGAGCAACGGCCCTGATTTACAGGCTCTAAAGTTAAGAACTACAGGAAATGCAGGCCTGGCATCGTCATCATCATCATCATCACCATTCATTTTCTGTGCACTGAGTAACTTCCTCACCTCTGGCTGGAAATGCTGTCTAGAGGTTGAGGTGGGCGTCAGGGTGTGGTCGTGGCAGCATGGGGGAGATGTGCTATGTGGGAAGACGGGAGCTCACCTGCCTGCTGTGGTCTTAGCCTCCTCCAGGGCTGCTGCTGGGGCAGGAACAGGAGGGTCCAACCTGAGGTATGTTCAGCCTGGACAGGATTGTGTTACACTCAGCCACACCCCACTGCTGTCCACATGCCCACACTTCAGCTCATCCATCTTTTGCTCTTTAACTCCCCATTCCGAGCTCTCCAGTCTGTATTTTTAGATTCGCTCGCCGCTTCTCGTTTTGTCTTATGTCAGCCATACATAATATACCGCTCTGTTGCGTAACTTTGTGGTTGTCATGGTGTCGCACACTGTATCCGCGTTGTTTTGCTCCGGCTCCTCTCATGCGTCCTCCGATGCGCCGTCACCTGGGTGACAAAATGCACACGGCATAATGACTCCCCCAGGTGAACCGCTGCGAGGTTTACTGTTACCGATGAACAGTCAGGCTATAGCTGTTTCATCTTGTTTCCAGTCTTTATGCTTGGCTCAGCTGTGTTTATTTTTAGCACGCAGAAACTGTATGAGAGTGGTGTCGATCCTCTCGTCCAACTCCTGTTTTTCAGCCGTGCTGCAGTGCAGGGGCAAAGTAATGTAGGATACTGTGTAATCTCGTGTCACATAAGCATTATGCAAACACATTCCCCCCTCAGTCCTCTGTGTTCTGCTTCAGTTGTAATCAAGGTTTTCTAAGATGAACACCTCCTACTGCAGCCCTTGTCACTATTAATCAGATTTAAAGGAGCCCTTCCACTTCCGTGAGGACTGTTTGTTCGCTCTCTCCGTCTTGTTGTGCCCCACCAATCATCCTGAAGGGCCTCTCCACCAGCAGGGGCCAAATGCACTCCATGAAATTATGAAACAGTTCATGATCTTTGCTCAGATATGGTGCTTTATGATTATTCAGTGCTTGTTTTTATTGCATAGCCAACTACAAAAACACACATAAGGGAAGACACTGAAGGAGGGTAATAAGAACAGCAGGAGCAGCTTCCTCGATAGCTGCTCATCCCCAAAGCTGAGGCTGATTACTGAAGTGGCTACCGCTGTTGCATAACAACTGCTGTCTTATCATATTCATCTCCTGTACTTGTTGTAGGCTAATCATCACATGGAGCAACTGAGTTGTTTCCCTCCCGCTGCGGGGATTAGTCATTGGAAAACAAACGTCCTCTTCTTACATTTGCATCATGACAGCAATACGGTGTTAATGCTGATACGGCTGCTCTCTCGTTACAGTGAAATCTAAATGGCAATTTCTCATATCACTGCTGTCAGCGGAGACTTTAGCCAAGATTGCGCTCAAGTTTTTTTCTGCTGCTGTTTCTGATTTTATTTATAAAGTTCTGGCTCGAAAATGTACAGTATTGAGTTTGGCCATCGGTGGCTGTGTCACCATCTTTATTCTCAGACTGGGTGTTAGTTTATGATCAAATTCTAAACGGTTCTTCTACATTTTTAGTTCATTTTCAATACAACAGATTACATAACAGTTTGTCTTTTTGCACAGGAATGCCAAAAAGAGTCTAAAAGCAAACTAATTTCCAGAAGAACCTCATCCACAGAACAGAAATCAACCACATTCCTCAAGAGCTGTGAAAATTTCCAACTTAAGTTCTTTTTTTAAGCAACTTTAAGTCTTTTTATTTTATGATATAATGTAATTTGATGCCACCTCAAACACACAAACGTATTTCTTTCACTAGAAGCGTTTATGATGATCACATTTGTCTCAGCTGATTGAAATTTAAAAAAAAATAAAAAACAAAAGATGAGATTTCCAGGATGGACATCGAGACTGCAGGACTGAGGCTCTCCGGGATCTCAGCTTGAGAGCGAGCAGTCCGCGTATCGTTTACTGTATCTGAAGTGCGCTGGAGCGGCGGTGTGGCCAAGACGTGCGTGCGTCGGTGTTAAAAAGCCGTCTCTGTACAGCCGCGTCGGTGTTGGAGAGCGCATCAGTCACTCAGCGTGGTGTAGGTGGACGACAGCGAACGGATGAAAAAAACAAATCTATATTGGGAGAACCCCAGCTGTCAGCGGCAGAAACCTGAACAGGTGGCTCCTTCGGTGTCTTAGCAGAACGTGTCAAGGCGCAGAGACCCTCAACAGCTTGTCTCCTTCGCTAATCTCCTCTCTGACGACAGCGCATTTACCCGCTGCGCGTAAAACCAGGAGTACCGGCAGGTTTGGGTTTTGTGGGGGGGAACAGTCTGATCAGTCATCGGGATTTTACTCGCCAGTGTTGATTCAGTGCTCATCACGAAGTTGGACTCGCAGAAAGTGCTTTGTTTTTATTTTACATTCTGGATTTGAAGAGTTGGATATCATGACTCTTTCCTGGATTTTATAATTTCTCCTGTGTGTTTTGGATTGTCAAGGCAGACACTGAAAGACCAGCATGTTGCCAGAAATAAATAACAAGGTGAGGCACTGTTTGCTGGTAAAACAGCAATTCCATGCAGTTCATTGTGCTGTGATTGGTGCTGTTGGAGTCAGTTTGTTGGAAAATTGCAAAACAGAAGGAGGATTTTCTTGTGATTGCTCATTTACTGTGATTATCTAATCTAATAAAATGGTTATGTTGTCATTATGTGCTTTATATGTTACGCTTCACCTCCCATCGTTTCACCTAAACGCTCCTGTTTTCTGTCAGATTGTGCATTTTTCCATGTTTGCTTTGAATTCGTCGGTGCAATAAGAGACACTTTTGCCCGGATACAGGGCTAACGTCCAGGCTGGTTCCATTTTTGGAAAAACCCCTTTCACAGGTATCCTTGAATGAAACTACAATGAAACCAAAGCAAAAATCTACAATTTTCTACAGTCGGTGCCAAGAGTATCAAGTCTTTCTCGCTTTGATATGATTTCCATTTTCCTTCAACAAGTTATCCCACTTGAATTCTTATTCTGCAGTCCGCCCCCTTTCTGCTGACCAGAGGCCAAGTTATGATGAAAAATCTGATCCATTTCTATTTCAGTCGTTGTTTAGCCTATACTTATTTCAGCGTTTGTTGTGCTGACAGATTCTGTAAGTCTATATGCGTTCTGGTGTATTTTTCACACCTTACATGGAAACTGATATAAATTTAACCCCTCGCCGTTTTTGGATCTTAAAAGATTTTTAGCTTTTTGCTGCTCTTACTTACTAAAAAATGAGAGAACAGAGGCTTTTTTTTGCTTTGACAAACTACCTCCAACACTCTGTTTTATCACAGGGATGGATCATTAATCGCAGCTACTTTACAGGAATCATTTTTCCCTGCGGTCAGATTGGAGGCCAACCGGGAGCAGCCTGTGATGTGCAGTGAAAATGACAGGATAGAGCGATAATACGTTGAAAAATGACTGTGCGTGCCTGACAGATGATAGTGTAAGTGAGCAGTGTTTTACAGTTTGTTGATGTTACTCCTGGTTTTATTGCTTTGCTTTGACCCTCTGACCAACTGACCCTGCGGGGGACCTTAATGAGCCAAAGCTGCTCTCGTATAATGGCTGGGATGATCCGACCTCCAGCAAAGACCCCTGACACATGGAGAGAGTCGGCCTGGGTGGTGAATTTTGTTTTCTTGACCTTAATTCTATTTGTTTACTCAGGTTCCTTCATTTTGACCAGTTGGTAAAGAGAACCAAGGCCCCTTTTTGCTTATTTTCCACGTGCATTGGCTGCTGTGGACCCAGAAAAGACAATTTTCAGCATCATGCGCTGAAATTTTATCCAAATCTGCATTTAAAGTATTACTTTTCATCCACTGTGTCGTGCAAACTTGCATTTGAGAATAAAGAGAGTCTAATCTTTTTTTGTTTTAACAGAAGTGTAAAATGCTCATTCACTAACTTATTATTACCCTAACAGCTGGCTCTGATCTCCACAACATGACTCGAACTGTAATCAGAACTTGGTGTACGTCGTTTCGATGCTGATATGCATCTGTGACGGTGGAATAAAAGGTCAGGAGTCACTATTTTTCTTTGGCATTTGGGCACATGTTCTGATGTCACTGGGTTTCCACTGGCTCAGTGCTCATTAGCCAGGCTTACAGCAGGCCTTTACAGGTGTTGTTATTAGAAGCCAACCTGCCACATTGACCTACATGGCACCTGCTGTCACTCACAAACGCTCCTGAGATTAAAACATCACGGCATTGCTGAACCACCCTTGTTAGGCTGGAAGGATTCTATCAACTTCAGTGCAAAGAGGGAAGCCAGGGATTGTCTGGGTTTAATAAGTGTCAGGAGTTTGAAAGGCAGAGCCTCGGAGTCAGTTCACTGTCTTATCAAACTCTACTGAACCAGACAGATCAGTTCAGCTCCCTCTGTTCTCTGACCTGATGGTGCTTTTGCATCTCAGTCACTGGTAAAGCTCAGGATTATGATTGGAAAATTGTTTCCTACGCCGCGCCGGAGGACAACAAACCACTCAGCCGGTCTCACCTCCCTCCCTCCGTCGCCGCCAGGCTGTTAGAGTGAGTTTAGCACATATCCCCCATATGAGGCTAAGCTTTATTTCACCCATATGGTGTCGCCCATCGCAGCTGCACGCTCACCCACTGATTAATAAGGCACGTGTGAGCTGGCTCGGTGCCGCAGGGAGGCGTGCACAATCATCCCAAATGGCGTTTTGTACCTTATTTTCTTTTAACATCCGGAAATCTGTTGTTGTTGTTTTATTCTCAGCATTTATTGCTTCCCTTTGTCACATTTACTCGTATGGATCTCCAGGCCCGGAGGCACGTGTACGCCCACTGCCAGGCACATGGACATGCACATGGGCTCACACCTGCGCAACCTAGCAGGTACACAGAGGGTAGTAGAAAGTGAGAGGATGGTTGTTGCTGGGTTTTCTTTGCAGAACCAATCTATTTTTGGATCACTGTGCATTATTTTTGCTCGTCTGGTTTCCACCCCGCTCAGCTTCGCCCAGCGGCTGTGTGTTTCTGAGGAGACTCTCCAGCCAGCGTGAACACAGGAGGCAGCTTCGCTACTGTTTCACCGCTTTAGTGTGTTTTGGTATAAAGGGATTCCTAAATCTGTGTTAGAGGTGCTGTTGTCATGCATCAAGCGACATAAAAGTGACAGCAGACGACAAACATGGCTTCCCTTCGTGTCTATTTTTAAAGGCGGCTATTTCGTCTTTCTCGGTTTGTATTGTATTTTATGAATCACTCTCCTTCCTCCCACAGACGTCACGACCGGAGGCCTTCCCTCACCCTCACAGGCTCCCAGCAGAAGGCAACCGTATTGGAACAAATCGACCCTGCTCACAGGTCAGTGCTTCCCCTCTGCACGGTGCCGTAACAGCTGACCCAGAACCGGAGCACGCTGTAGAAACAATGCCTGATTATTGTCTTTAAATAACGTGCGCTTGAATCATCAACACCTAAAAATGTGCCTCTTTTCTCTTTTTCTTTTCATGCACATGTAAACCCGGCTTAGACAAGCATCACTGAGCATCATGAGGCTTTTATAGCTCCTCAGTAAAGAAGCGTCTAAATAAAACATGTTTTTTTTTTTCAGTGCAGGACATTTATATTGACATTAATTTATCTGAGAATCTCATGCATGTCACTGCACATCTGTGTGAGGTTATGTCATGTAACGCATCGCAGATTTCTAGTAACACAAGAGCATCTTATTTAAACAGCATGCCTCCCGGTTATGTACAGGCGTGTAGCTGTGTTTACTTCCTTTGCCTGTTGTGGCAGGTGCTTGTGACTATATTTAGCCCTATCTCTATGCGTCATAACCAAGTTGGCAGATCCTGCAGCAGCTCTTAGTATATCAGAAATATCAGAACTATCTACTGTATACATGGAAACGCTTTATGTAATGGAAGGCTATTAATAATTAATATGAAGGAGTTAATTATGTTAATACATTGCTACAGGCCACGCTGGGTGTAGGAGATCTGTTTTATGTGGAACTGCAGCTCAAAAAATAAGAAAACATGTTTTGAATAGACTCTACAATGCCTCTCTTGTCACTGACACATTTCTGTGGGATATGTTATTTTCTCCAGAGGATTTGGCAAAAGGACAGAGGTCTAATTTTGCCCATCAGTGCCAGGGCTGAGCCCTGCAAGGCAGTGACACGTGTAATCGTGCTCTCAGAGCAATCAGGGTGGCAGTCAGAGAAAAGCAGGTTGCTGCACTTCATCTCCCCCACAAAGCCAACACTGACAGACCCTGTCAAGACGCAGCCTCATGGGGATTTGTCCCCATTTTACTCTCACCCTGATCAGTAATTCCAGCCGCTACCTGCTGGGGGTCCCGGTCACCTGAGCCTGCACAGACCAAAGGCATGTAGGGAGGCAGCTAGCTGAGAACACAAACCCAGACTGACGAGGTGCAGCCTGATACAAACACACACTCATGAAAAAGTGAAAGAGGCTGTAACAAGCTTGTACCCATAATGTTAATAGAACAATGCATTTAGATTTTACACCCGCTCCATTGGGTGTTTCTGTGTTTGCTCTTCTGTTACACTGAAATACATCTTCGAAGTCCCCTAGCTGTTAAAAGTTGGTGAGTTTCTTTGTTGATTGGCCCAAATATTCTCCCTGTTTCTGTGCATCGTGTGATAATTTTTGCCTCCAGTTATGACTCACACTGTTTAATAAACAGAACTGGAAGATGTTGTCTTTCGTCTCTGTGTTTTGTTACCGACGGCAGTGCAATTAAAGTGTTCCCTCTGAATTACAGAAGTTCAGCACTGGTGTGGGGACTCTGCCTCAGCTTGAGCCACCGGTGGTCCAGGTGGTGGTCAGCAATGCCAAAAACCAGCACCAGCAGTCAGACAACATCCTGCCCCAAATCGCCAACAAAGGGGGTCAAAACAACTACCAGACACACCCGGTGAGGCTTCCAGTCACTCATTCATGCTCGTAATAAACTACCTTGTATGATTAAAAGATGAGAAAACCTCACGAGGTCCAGTCTGTAATTACATCAGCTTGTCTTGGCTCATCATAGAAAGTGATTCTGTGTCATTCAGCAGGACGAGAGGCCGAAGCCCGCTCAGCAGTTCGCCATGCGCTTTGGTGCAGCGATGGATAAAGTGTCCGTCTCCCGCAACAGCAAGATCTTCAGCAACAAGCTGGAGAAAGAGAGAGAATATGAAGGACAGAGGCTACCCATGTCTCCAATAGGTACGTGATTATGGACCAGAGTGCGGTGCAGCTGATTCAGAGAGGCACAGGGATGTAATTTCACATTTAGAATCTGCTGTGGGTGTTCTTACACAACAACGTAACGAAGTGATATTTTTGATTCTCCATGATGGAATGTAAATAGCATGCTGGCTTTGATGGTTCACAATCCTCTGCACTCGAGGTGTTACCAGCATGATGGTGACTCATCTCGTCCTCCTCCATCTTACTTCCTGCTACAGATGCACTGAAGAACTTCCAAGACCGCCTGACGGAGTTCGAGCAGGAGGAAATCATGGACTATGCAGAGATCTGGTTCCTGGGTCTGGGTTCCCAGAAAATCGAGGGTTCCCAGGGAGCACCGCAGAACTCTGGATATGATGACGAGCACGGGAGCTACATCAGGGTGAGGTTTTAGAGGAAGTACTAAAGGTTTATATCAGTAGTTTACGGGTTGTACCTCATCAGGCCTCAGCTGGACAGGACACATTATAAAGGATTATTTTAAACTGTCTGGTAACTGCAGGTGCTAGAATTGTATAAAATCAGCTTCCAAAATGTTTGAGATGAGTCCCGTTTCTCATCAGATTTATGCAGTTGTTGTATCTTTAAACAGTTGTCAGGATGAACTGCTTGTAGTGTTCAAAGGCTTTGGTATTGAAGCTAAAGCCTCGCAGCAGAAGCATTAAACAAACACAATAGAAACACATTTTATTGCATTTCTACTGAAAACATTCGTCATTTTGAATTCCACTCCTGAGTCACACATGTTAACGGTTTCCAGAAGCACTTGAACGCACTAAAGAGTTCCTGATCAAAACAAAACAACAAAAACACACAAAGACACAAAAACACTACATCTGAATCTCTAACAAATGTGAGGAAAGACCACACTGTTTAAAATAAATAGATGATAATATTATAACAATAATAATTATATTATTATTATAATAATAAATCTATAATTACATTTGTGTATTTTTTATTTTATTTTACAAATTTTTCTTTATTTCTGAAATACACAAAAATATTTTTTAACCTTACAAAAATAAAATTTGCATATCTATTGTAAAATAAAACTGAAATTGAAGTAAAGACGCTGTTAAAATACAGCCTTAAATTTCCCCAAATTTTGTTTATGTTTAATAGATGGAATTGTATTCAAGTTTATATTGTAAATATGTTTCTAAGATTAGATGCAGTTAGTGACAATTAACAATTAATTCATGAGCGATAAACATTAAAAAGACAACAAATTAGTGTAAATTTAGAGACTGTATGTGAATTATGGAAAATTACTGTATTTTATTAAATGGTTATTTTCTATTACTTTACAGTATTTTTATGGAAAACCAGCTGCTATAATTTATTATTTTCTTTACAGTCATGGTCAGCAATAATGTCAAGAACACAGATGTTCTTCATTGTCTCATCATTTCAGAACTACTGTGATGTTAAAGACCTCTGATTATCCAGAGTTTTCTATATAAAACACATGCAACAATGCACAGACATGAAATTTAAACGTAGTCAAATCATAAATAGATGAAGTGGACATGTATACACATATGTTCAAGCTGCTGAATCTGAACCGTACCTGACCAGACGCCTTCATGTGACCTTAATCCAGCAGCTGCAGGCCGTGAACTCGCTGTTCGTTCTGACTGACTTCATTGTTTGATGCACGATAAACTGCTCTGACCCTGCAGCGGCAGGATTAACTGTCTTGTATGAATCAGACAACTCAAAGGCAGTTGTGTGTCAAAGGACAATGAGAGAGCTGTTCAAGGCTGAGTGACTGACCATTGTTTGGACTCTCATATGTCTATTGAGGCTCGTCTCACCGAAACAGCTTTGACTGACAGTTGCTGCAAAGCCACAGGACAGTTAATACTGTAGAAGAGGATTCTGTGTGTGTCCTAAGAGTGTATAGTGTGTTAATAAATTATGTTAATTGCATTGTTTTGATTTATTCATACAACTCAGAGCTGCTGGCACATATTACATAATCGCTCAGATGTTCACGGTGCTTCTCCTCGGCTGCTTCCAGGTGCTGCACGACCACATTGCCTACAGGTTTGAAGTCCTTGAAGTGATTGGGAAAGGCTCCTTCGGGCAGGTCTTGAAATGTCTGGACCACAAGAACAACGAACTCGTAGCAATCAAGATGATCCGCAATAAGAAAAGGTACGAGCACAACCAAAGCAATTATTTCATTTTTCTGAAAAGATCCTCAACGAGCACATTCTGTGTTGGTTTCACTTCATGCGTTTAACATACTCTGTGCTTCACTAGATCCTCTGTAGAACAAATTATTTGTCACATTCAAGGAGGTAACTTTTGGCATTCATTGGAGATCTGATACCCGCTTGTGAGTTTTCCCCCACATGCCCGCGCCGTGATCATTTTACGTTTTAAGAGTCCGCCAAATCGTTAAGACCTGATTTAGCATGATAGAAGTCGGCACCTCGTGGTGTTGTCTTACCCGTGCTTCCTCGCAGAGCATCACAGCGGTTGCAAAGTCCTGTAGGTTAGATCTGGGAGCCATCAGGTCTTACCACGACTTCAATAATGCAGAAAACAAACTGGGTGCAAACTGCCAAAGCACGGCCTCAGAAGAACTCTCCGCTGTGTCAGATGGCTATCTTAGATCTGATTTCTCCTCAGGGGAGGGTTGAGTATGGTTGAGAAATAATCAACAACGTTAGCGGGTTTTGTGCCGGACAGACATCTCAGTCTGAGAACATCTGAGGCAGAACTGTCACATGTTCTGGTATTACCTCCATTTTTGTGTCTCAAAACTAAAATAAGAAGTTTCCGGCTCTAACGCGTGCCCCTCTGTCTGCAGGTTTCATCACCAGGCTCTGGTCGAGCTGAAGATCCTGGACGTCATCAAGAGGAAAGACAAAGACAACCTCCACAACGTCATCCACATGAAGGAGTACTTCTACTTCCGGAACCACCTGTGCATCTCCTTTGAGCTTCTGGGGTCAGTACGTCCTCTCACACTCAGAATCAGGCCTGCCGACTCCTACAGGAGAATATAAAGACGTCGCTGAATAATTGATCTTTTAATCAGAGGTATTCAAGGTGAACCCCCCCGTCGCAGGTACAACGGCGGGGTGTGAACACTGCGCCGCTTATCAAGAGCACTTCTCATCTGTCTCTGCTCATTACTTTACTTCGATGTAGCTGCAGTCATTCAGGAGTTAAGTGATTACCTGTGTACCTTAAGCCATCTGTGTTTTTCAAGGATGGCCACCGATATCTATTTGAGGGGGGATAGTTTTGTGTATCACTCTGGCTGAATGACCTTTAGAGGACGTCTTGGACTGCCGCCTTGTCTAACATTACCGTCACCGAATCCTTTAGTTAAGGCCTCGATTAGAGCCCTATCTTTTACCCCCTTCTTGCTTCATGGTGTGAAGGATCCAGTTGCACAGTCTAAAGAAGTTTGTGTTTATCACGAGGAGCAATAAGTGACAGGAGGAGGATGCGCTCTATATATCTGTCAGCCTCTAAATGTGAGCACAATCGCAGATTATTTCCACGTATGTGCGGGTGTTTTACGATGGGTGTTGAGTGACGGTAAACTTAGCGGGATTCTTTTTTCGGCGCGTTTATTTGAGGAACAGGAAGAAACTTGTTCATGTGGTGCATCTTTTTACACGTCGAGCTCGGTCGTCCGGGTTTTTTCCTCGTCGTGCATGAACAAAGTGTATTCACACGAGGAAGAAAACTAATCAAACATCTCTTTTTTTTTTTTTTTTTTTTTGCCTTTCACCAGGGTGAACTTGTACGAGCTCATCAAAAAAAACAACTTCCAGGGCTTCAGCATCGCTCTCATCCGTCGGTTCGCTCATGCACTTCTCAGGTGCCTGCAGATGCTTCACAGGGAGAAGATAATCCACTGCGACCTCAAACCGGTACTCGCTTCATCTTTAACACCTGAAGCTACCAGATACATTGATTGAAGTGTAGACAGGTTGACAAAACTGCTCGACCACACCTTTGCACTGAATCACTGCCCCGCTGTATTGCTCAGACATATAATGTGAATTGTGCGCCATCTTGTGGAGCATGGCAGTATTGCAGCGGTACTGTACAAAAGCAGCAGCTTGAACGTGTTCACTTCTGCACAGGAGAACATCCTGCTGTCTCAGAGAGGGCCGGGGAACATCAAGGTGGTCGACTTTGGGTCGAGCTGCTACGAACAACAAAGAGGTAGGAGAATGTGTAGCTCTCAACCATGTCAGGATATTTACAGAAATACAGCGTGAGCTAAAATATCACCGTCTTTCTTCTTCTGCTAGTTTACACCTACATCCAGAGTCGCTTCTACCGCTCTCCAGAGGTCATCCTGGGTCACCCCTACAGCATGGCCATCGACATGTGGAGCCTGGGCTGCATCCTGGCCGAGCTCTACACCGGCTATCCTCTGTTCCCTGGAGAGAGCGAGGTGGAGCAGATAGCCTGCATAATGGAGGTACGGCACGGAAATAATTTCGCGCTCGTATTCATTCAGTCGAGTTGCTTCGTTTGAAGACGTCTTGATGTTTTGACTCGCAGGTTCTTGGAATGCCTCCGAATGATTTCGTTCAGTCGGCATCGAGGAAGAGGCTGTTCTTTGGTGAGAATTTGAGATCTTGTGTGTGTGTGGACTGCACGGCGTGGTATCTACTGTATATGTTAGTAGAATATGAATGAATAACTGGTCTGTGCTGCGTTTTTTGTGCGCAGACTCAAAAGGCAACCCGAGGAACATCACCAACAGCAAGGGGAAGAAGCGTCGACCCAACTCCAAGGAGCTGTCGGTGGCACTGAAAACTAACGACGCTTTGTTCTTAGACTTCATCAAATGCTGCCTCACGTACGTGTCATTTACAAACCTTCTTCAGTGTTTACAAGACTGCACAATGATTATCTGCTGTCTTGCATTCTCAGTTGACTTTTTTTTTTTAATATTTAAAAAATGTTTTGGATCATGACTATCAGCCTCCACTTGCAGACTTAAATTAGTTTTCTGTGCTTTTCAGTTGGGATCCGACTAAGCGTATGACTCCAGATGAGGGGCTGCAGCACGAGTGGATCCTGGAAGGAAATTTCAACAAAGTCAGACCCAGAACGAAGCCCACGGTGAAGAAAACCTCCGACAGTTCGACCAGCACAGACAGACAAGCTAACGGCAAGCCTGGTAAGCACACAACCAGCATGCATAGTGTTTGGAAGTAAAAACGAAGCATGCAACAACTAAAACACACCAAATACTTGTATCTGTAAAACCTGTACGGTCCAGGTGCCACTCACTTGAAGTCTCCGTGTCACTTTATCTACTATTAGGGGACCTATTAGCTCGGGCAACAACTGCACACACACTGATAGAGTCCTTTTGTGTTCACCGCAAGCTGACATTTAATCTGCTTTGTCTCCGTGGCACAGGGGAGAAGGTCGGCTCGGAGAGGGACGGTTCGGCAGCAGGAACAAAGATGGAGCCTGCCGAGCGGCTTCGGCCCATCGGGGCTTCGGCGGAGGAGGAGGTGTGCGAAAGCGAGGGCAAGCTGTCCGTAGACGCCAAGCAGCTGGAAGGCAACGGAGAGAGGCCCGTTCACATCATCATAAAGCCTCAGGAGGAAGTGGGCAGGGAGAGGAAAGACAGCCAGGAAGCGTCCCCGTGTTTGCCTCCTATCATGTAACCGTCATGTGGACAAGCAGGGAGCTGCTCGGGTCCCACACCATGTATGTGGGAGACACACTGATCACCAGTGAGGTGGGGCATCTTCTATTTGTTGTTCTAGGTATACAGTCATAGCATATTATTTTTGTTCTGTGAATCTTTGAGTTTTTACCACAGTGAAGTCAACCAGTTGTATTTTGTAATGAAGTTAAGATGCAGTTTTCGGCCTCAGTGTGTCCCGGCTGAGACACCAAACTGTCGGGTTTAGATTCACAGCACAGCGTTTAGTTTCTGCCGTCACTGTCTTCTGTATTATCTGCTGAATCCGATCTTTGCTGTGCATTGAAAGTCTCCAACAAACAAATCAGACTCCTCACAGGTTCCATAGCAAACAAAAGCAACGTAGCCGGTTTCAGAAAGTGCATGGGTAGAAAAAAAACATGTCATCGCTTTTTATTCTTTAGACATTTTAGCCTCATTTTACTTTGATAACGGTAAAAGAGATGAAGCATCGTGTGCAATAAAGGCTGAGCCAAATGTTGTTGTTTTTTTTCTTTTTTTTTAAATTACGATAAATTGTCCTGTACTTTTTAATTGTAGAATGAAGGTGATGCTGATTATTAATTATTTCACTTATTTATTGTGGAATATCTTTGATCCTGTGTTTCATATTTATTTAACAGTTTAACTCAACAACCAAAAAAAAATAAAAAATGATGTATTTGTAATAGAATTTATTGTATATATATTTCTGCTGTAATTTCTTATACACGTGTACCACAGAACATATTTTAAGAAAACTATTTCAGATATGTGTTGAGGACTTAGACAAGGTTTTACTTGTTGTGCTGTTACTGTACGAGAATATTTTGTATGTCTGTGTTATTCCTAATATTTTTTATATTAGAATCAAAAAGACAATCCTATTATTGATAGTTTGTGCCTTGCAGTATTAGAAATATTGCACTTTATTATTGTGTGTGTAGACCTGGGTTGGAAAGCGTCACATTCTTCACACTACCTTTGCCAGGATCCCTTTTTATTTAGCAAAATGACGTCCCACATCTAACGTTGCAGAACATCATGAAACCATTAATGCGCTTTTTATAACTGATTTGTTTTTTTTTAGTCGCCAACGGAGCTCCAAGTTAAACTCAAGATAGGCCTCACTATGTATTAGCTAAGCAACCGGAGATCCCATGAGAATGGATTGTAGCTGAAATATGAAGAAAAGTCATTTTTATGTCTTTTATGATGAAATTAAAAGTTGTTTCAAAGACCGTGTGCGTTCATGTTTCATGATTTTAATCCTCCATGACAAGAAAAGGCCTCAGCACCTTGTCGTAAGCTATGGATATTTGAAATGGTATCTGGGAAAGTTTAGATTGTTTTTGCACATGGAAATATTTAATTTTATTTTTTTCAATATATGCTTAATAGCACAGGAACTATTAAAGATAAAAGCCTGAAACTTCCACTGCCACTTCTCATGATGCTACAGATTCAGAATCTGCAATACTGGACAAGTAGACCAAACTCAAAGTAAAAAGAGATTACTACATGTTAAGTCTACTACCCATGTTGATGGCAGGTGTGAGAGCGCACTGAATAAAAATGAACAAAACAGCAAAGCATCTTTTAAAATCCAGACATGTATTCTCTGTCTCTCTACACTGTCCTGTCAAATAAAGGCGGATAAAATAATCTTTCAAATAAAAAAAAAAAATCCATACATATATTTAAAATTCACAAAAACTGAAACTCCATCCATCTCTGATCATTCATAAAACCTCTAAAAACCCACTCTTCCCACATGCTGCAGCTCGAACACGCCAGCTCACCTGCTCAAATGCTGTAATGCTACACAAAGACAGGTGCTACTATTGGAGAGATTCAGCCACAGAAACGGATTCTGAGGAAGAACAGTGACACTTAAACCCCCAAAGTAAGTCTACAAGCTGACAAGACTGGTTCCTTTGGTTTATGTTTATTACCTAGCAAACCCCCAGAAGCCAGTGGTGTGTCTTCTATTCTTTTATCACATAAAAAAAGAAAGAAAGAAAAATAAACGGAATTTGGGCATGTTAAAAAGTAGTAGTAATAATAATAATAATAATACTATATAATAATAACAAGATTTTTTTAATTGAAGAATTTTTAAAATTATTTTAAAAATTCTTTTCACCAGAGGTAGTTTAATAAAAAGGTCTGACTCACTTGATTTATTTAATTGCTTACTAAGTTTTTGGCACCACGTCAAAGCATCGTTTGCATCAAAGCCTTAAAAAAAAATGCAGCAATAAAACAATTGTCTTCCATGTATGTATGTTGCTTTGTTTTCTGGAATGTCACTACTTGTTGCTAAACTTAGTGGTGCGTTTTTCACGCGTGCATTCAAAGCCCGTGGGTTTATTTTTGTCTTTGCGCTACATGACGCGGCTGCTGCTTGGGTGAATTTTGGCCCACTCGGGTTGCCGTAGACGGAAAGATGGCGACCGTGGCGCTGGTTAGCCGTCCTGCGAGTGTCCTTCCAAAGGTTTCAAGTGAGTAACGTTATGACAGCAGCCAGGGCATATGCAGATATGTATTTTACAGGCTGATATAGCATCTATTCATACGAACACCATCCCGGCATCGGTTTTGTATTTCGGCCGCACACTCGGCTGGAGTGACCTTGCTAACAGGCTCGGCTAACCACCCGCTAGCAAGGGCTTTAGCCTGCTACTAGCTTACATCTGATGTCTGTTTATTTTAATCAGCTACGTGGTGATCTAAATATCTGCATCCCTGCGTTGATTAATAAGTGAAGTGATAAAGTTTTTCAAGGGTTGCTGTTATTTTCTTTTGTGGAGTCCTCAAGTTAAATGACTCAAAGCACCCGATGCTATTATAGACATTACTGCAGAAATATACCAGTTTAGTTGTTATTGCTGTACATTAGTAGGCCTTCTAAATGACAATGCTAGTAATAGCATACTGCGTGGTGCCACTGAACTAACACTAACACAGTTATGAGTAAAAATATTCTCATGAAAGCACACAAGTTTGATCAGTACGTCTCATTTTTCCTGCAGCTAGCCTGTAGTGTGCAGGTACACGATGGAGCACAATGTAGGTCAAACAAGTAATACATTAAAAAAACATTAGCATTGAACATGTACACATTTAGAAAGCTGTTGAGTCAGTTTCACGGTTATTTTGGGGGCTGTCGTTTGGGATTCAGGGCAAATCTTTCTGAAACACTTCAAATAATACCAGATCACTGCAGTCATAAGGGTTGCACTACACGGTCAGAAACTGGCTTTGCAATATTTCTCTTTTCTGCAGTTTGTATTACAATGTGAAAAGAAAAAAACCCAGCTTATTACATTTATCAAGCGTAAGCTGCAAGGTGTGTGTGGACGAAGCACTGCAGCCTTGTTCACCGTATTATCTGTCACACAGATATGAAGTCTCTCATCTGAGCCAAAGCAGCCGCTGCTTCCTCTCGTCTCCATTGCCGTGTTTCTTCATAAAGTGGACAGTCAGGTTTAAATGGTTCAAGATTAACTTTATTTTCCCGGCCGTGGGAAAATTTGTCTATTTCAGCCCCACTGCAGCCGACACAGACAGGGAAAATACAGTTAGCAGATAGAATGAATAAATACATGCATACATCAAGGAAAAGCAGCTCTGAGGTGAAGTTCAGAGTGTCAGGAAGCCTTAAATCGCCCCGTTGATGCTGGAATGATATATCAGTTCAATATATCGTGCTCTGAATGAGGTTATTAGCTGCACCTTGTAATTGCTGCTCGTGTTCCTCTCAACAGGTAGCTGCTCCCCTGCGGTGCTATCAGCTGCCTCTGTCACCGCAGTCCAGCAGAGGAAGCTGCACCATGCTATCATCCCCAAAGGGAAAGGAGGACGCTCCTCATTCAGTGGATTTTCTGCCACTGTGTTTGGTGCCACCGGCTTCCTGGGACGATATGTGGTCAACAGGCTCGGTGAGTTAAAAGCTGTGTTTATTCAGCAAACTTTAGTATTTTCTGAATGAGCTCGTACTTTTTAGGGATGTACAGTCGTGACTCGATAATCCGACACTAAATGTAAAACCTTCTTTCATGTCGGAT